GAGGCCCCCCAGAGGCCTCCAAGACGGCCCAAGAGACCTCCAAGAGGTCCTCCAGGAGGGCCCGAAGAGGCCAAAATCATTGATTTTCCTTAGGTTTTAGAAGGATTTTGGAATTTGCTTCTTCTCGGCATTCCGACGGCTCAAGACGGCCCAAGAGGACCCCAAGATCGCCCAAGAGGCCCCCAAGAGGGCCCCATGACGGCCCAAGTGGCCTCCAAGACGGCCCCAAAAGGGCCTCAAGACGGCCCAAGAGGCCTCCAACACGCCCAAGATGGCCTCCAAGACGCCCAAGATAGCCTCCAAGACGGCCCCGAAGCGCCCCAAGAGGGCCCCAAGTCGGCCCAAAAAAGGCCCCCAAGACGGCTCCCGACGGTGTCAGACGTGCCAGGAACCCACCAAGATGGCCGAAGTTGGCTCGAAGCTGGCCCAAGACGGCCCAAGAGGCCCCCAGGAGGGTCTCCAGAAAGGCCAGAAGAGGCCAAAAACATGTATTTTCCCAAGGTGTTTGACGGACTCTGACATTTGCTTCTTTTCGGCCTTCCGACGGCCCGAGACGGCCCAAGAGCCCCCAAAGATCGCCGAAAGATCGCCCAAGAGGCCTCCAAGATGGCCCCAGAACGACCCAAGAGGGCCCCAAGACGGCCCCAAGAGGCCCCCAAGATGGCACAGGAGGCCTTTAAGACGCCGAAGATGGCCTCCAAGACGGCCCCGGAGCATTCCAAGAGGGCCACAAGACGGCTCAGAGAGGCACCCCAAACGGCTTCCGACGGCGTCAGACGGACCAGGAGCCCACCAAGACGGCCGAACATGGCCCTAAGATAGCCCAAGACGGCCCAAGAGGCCTCCAAGAGGGCCCCCGGGAAGGCCCGAAAAGGCCAAAATCATAGATTTCCCATGGGTTTTTGAAGGACTCTGGCATTTGCGTTTTTTCTGCCTTCCGACGGCCCGAGACGGCCCAAGTGCCCCCAAAGATCGCCCAAGAGGCCCAAGACACGGCCCCAAGAGGCCCCCAAAACGGCCCAAGATGGCCTCCAAGACGGCCCAAGAGCCCTCCAAGACGTCCTCCAAGAAGGCCCGAAAGGGTCAAAATGGCCTCCAGACGGCCAAGATGACCTTCAAGATGCCCACGTGTTCCCCGAAGGCTTTCCAAACCGATTCGGGGAACATGGTCCGATAGCTTGGCAGGTCTGGCCTCAACGTTCGGCCACATAGGCGCTTCCAAAAAGGCAGGGGGCGGCGGTGATTCGCCGTAGTCGTCTTCGATACATTAACACCCCCTCCTCCTCCACCTTCTCCTCTTCCTCTTCCTCCACCTCCTCCTTCTCCTCCCACCATCCCTCCTCCTCTTCCTCCTCCTCCTCCTCCTCCTCCTCCCTCCTCCTCCTCCTCCTCCTCCTCCTCCTCCTCCTCCTCCTCCTCCTCCTCCTCCTCCTCCTCCTCTCCTCCTCCTCCTCCTCCTCCTCCTCCTCCTCCTCCTCTCCTCCTCCTCCTCCTCCTCCTCCTCCTCCTCCTCCTCCTCATCCTCTCCTCCTCCTACTCCCATCCTCCTCCTCCTCCTCCTCCTCTCCTCCTCTCCTCCTCCTCCTCCTCCTCCTCCTCCTCCTCCTCCTCCTCCCCTCCTCCTCCTCCATTCCTCCTCTTCCCCCCGCCTTCATTCCTCCTCCGCCTCCTCCTCCTCCACCCACTTCTTCTCCCTCGGCCCTCCCTGGGCGCGCCGCCGATCAGAGCGCAAGAGGGCGGCCTCCCCAGAGGGCCTCCCTCGGGAGGCAACGGGGACCTTCCCCGGGGGCCCGCCAGGCCCTGCACCCTCCTCCAGGGGAGCCTGCCCCCGCGCTCCCCCCAAGGGCGCCCGAGGAGCCCTCGCCCTGGGGCCTCCCTTCCCCTCTGAGACGAAGCCAAGACGAGGATATGATCGTAGGAAGGCACCAACTGTACACCAACACCGATCCTGGGTGATCCTGGGCCCAGGATCGGTGTATACGCCCTCCTGCCTTGGGCAAGAAGGCATATACACCGATCCTGGGCCCAGGGTGATCCTGGGCCAGGATCGGTGTTGGTGTATAGTTGGTGCCCTCCGAGATCGGGTGAGGATAAATCGAGCATCTCTGAGGTCTGGCGGCTCTGGAAGATGTCTCGGGCGCCGCGGCCTTCTCAGAGCGTTCCGGAACGCGCTTCGGCACGCTCTGGAAGGGATTGATCATCGTCCTGGCCCCGTCCGGCGAAGTGGGGGCGGAAGCAGTGGGGACGATGACCGAAAGCAAATCCTGTCCACCATGAACCAGACTCGCTGTCTGTGTCGCAGCGGACGTGGTCCATGTCACACAAGCTTCGCCAGCCCAAGACTGCCCGCCCTCGCTTTTGGCCAACAGCTGCTGTTGCGCACCTTCCCGGTTTTGTCCGGGGGGGCCACTTCGCCCGAGGCCCGTTTCGCCTCAGACCACCTCGCCCTTACAGTCTCTCGCCATGGTCGTCGCTGGTCGTCGTCGTGGTCGTCGCTGCCCGTCGTAGCCTCTCGTCGTGGTGGCTCGGTACTCGTTTGTTTGAGATCCCGCCCGCCCGCTAAGATGGCCCCGCCCGCCCGACCCGCCCGTCAGGGATCGCCCTTTCGGGTCTGCCAGCCTGGGGCCCGCTGGCCCGACACGCTGGTTCGGGACCGCTCTTTCGCATGCTGGAAGGCCCGCCCGCCCGCGTTCGCGTCCCGCCCTCCCGACCCCCCCCCCGTCCTGTGAGGCGCCCCGCCCGGCCCGACCGTCAGGGTCTGCTCGCTCGTGGCCGCAGGGAGCCCGCCCGTCCGCTGGGGTGTCCTGCCGCGCCTGGCCCGCCCGAGCTTCGGGGGCGCGCAGGCATGGATTAGCGATCCATGGATTTGGCGCGCGGTCGCCAAATCTATGGATCGGGGGAGGCGAGGTGCCCTCCCCAAAATGCGGCCGGTGCCGCCTCGCCCGGCGGCGGAGTTCCGCGGTCTCCCATGGAAGCGGGACCCGTCGCCAATCCACGCCCCCTGGATCCATGTTTGCGATCGCCTGAGAGATGGCGCGCCCGCCCGATTCGTCCGCACCGAGGTCCCCCCGCCCAACCCGAAGGTCAAGGCTCGCTCGCCCACAGGTTCGCGTCGTGTCGATCCCGGCGTTGGCTTCTGCCACCGCGGGGCTCGTTCAGACTTGAACGCTCGGCCGTTCCGTGAACGCGGGATCGTTCTACGACGGGCCGACTCTGGGCCACGGGCGGCGATCAACCTGAACCTTGGGTCGGGCATGTCCCCCTGCAGGCGGACGTTGGACGAAAAACAAGAGACGGTCCAAAAATACTCAAAAGTGGTCCAGAGATAGTCGAAGCGAAGAGTCGTCCCCTGACCACTCTTGGGTTACTTTTGAATCCTCCTCCTGCAGAGGGACAGGTCCGCCGACCCTGCCGCACCTGCTCGGAAAGCCCACCCGGGAGGGCCGAGACTCGAACCGACAAGTCGGATCGGCAATCGAAAATGGTCAAGAAATAGTCGAAGAGTCGTCCCCTGACCACTTTTGGGTCACTTTGGAATACTCCTCCTGCAGAGGGACATGTCCGACTCAACCTTCCACGCACGCGCCGGGGTCGCCGCCAGTCGGCACGACGCGACCCTGCCGCACCTGCTTGGGGAAAGCCCACCCACAGGAGGGCCGAGACTCGAATCGATACGTCGCATCGGCCATCGAAATCAGTCGGACCGGCGGCAACAGGCAGCCGAGCTGGGACGAGCCGAATTGGCGGGAACCGGCAGGTTGGTAGGCCTCCACTGAGGAGTAGGCATCCACATCGGAATCCCAAGTCGAATCGAATCGGGATCGAAATCCATCGAGATCGAATCGAATCGAAGCGGAGGAATCGAAACGAGCAAAAGCAGGGCTAGGATCGGGATAAATCGCTCCAGAGCGTTCCGGAGCGCTCTCAGAGCGTTCCGGAACGCTCTGGAGCGGCCGCGGCGCCCAATACATCCTCCAAACCCGCCGATTCTCAGAGATTTCGAGTTATCCCGATCCGATTTTGTCCCGATCTTCGCGTCGTTTGAGCCCTGCCCACCCGCCCGCTGCCGCGTCCCGCCCCGCCAGCCGCCCCGTTTTCGTCCGGGACCTCACCGCGGACGAGGCGGCCCGCCGATTCACGGCCAGGCCGCCGGCGAGGCCTGTCCGCTGGCGAGGCGCTGCGGGGCGCGGAGAAGCGAGAAGCATAGTTCCTGTTGTCCGATGCTTGTCTGGTTGTGTCCGGTTTTTTACGTTCGGTGTCTGTTGGCTTGTTGGTTTGATTGCTGGCTTGTTGGCTTGTTGGTTTGCTGGTTTGTTGGTTTGTTGGTTTGTTGGTTTCGGTTGTTGCTGTTGCTGCTGTTGCTGTTGCTGTTGCTGTTGCTGTTGTTGTTGGTGTTGTTGTTGTTGCTGCTGTTGCTGTTGCTGTTGCTGTTGCTGCTGTTGTTGTTGTTGCTGCTGTTGTTGATGTTGTTGCTGTTGTTGTTGTTGTTGTTATGTGTGTGTTGCTTCTGGGTGTCTTTCTTCTGCGAAGTGACTCGGGGCGGAGCGCTCCTCCGCCGAGGCGAGCCCGTGCCTCTCTGCCCGAGGCCTGCCGACCCCCCAGAGAGCCCCGAAAAAACCCTCTCGTGCCGCCGCCGCGCCTGCGCCCTGAGGACCTCGTCCGCCAGGAGCTCTATCTTCAGGAGCCTGTCGCGGTCGAGGCCACCCGCCATGGATCGCTGAGGGCCTCGCGACCTCTTCGGTCCCTCGGCTCGAGCAGAATCATGCACGGTGCATCGTCGTGTGCCCGGGCGTCTCTGCACGGTTGCTTCGACTTGTGCAGGTTCTGATCTGCCTGTCAAGGGCACAACGTGCGGCAGCGTGGCAAGTGTCAGGCCATGGCCACGGAACCAAATTGGTGGGCGTGGGGGGGGGATCGACTCTCCAGCGGCCGGAGTCGCGTCGCAACTTCAAGGGGCGGGGATGCACAACCACATCCCTGAGCTAAAATGGTCATTCGGGGTCGAGACTTTGCACTTGAAGGCCACACTCCAGCAATGGCTGCAGGGAAACCGTGCCCTCCCCCTCGTCCCCCTCCTCCTCCTCCTCCGCCTCCTCCTCCCTCCTCCTCCTCCTCCTCCTCCTCCTCCGGCGCCGCGGGTCTTTGCAGCGGGTGCACTGCAAACGGGAACTGTCACATCCCCCCAACGCCCTTCGCCTGCCCCCCCGCCAGCGCGAGCGCGCGGCAGGAGCAGGGCCCGCAGTCGGGGTTCCGCGCGCGAGGGCGGGCGGCGCCTGGCAGCGGCGTCGTCGCCACCGCCAGCCTGGTCTTGGAGTTTCTGCCTGGGGGGCGCCGAGCCGCACGGGTCGCTCTGCGGTCGGGCACGAGCCCTTCCGCCGAAGGCCCACTGCCCTGTGGAGGTGCCCTGTGGAGGTGCCCCGTGGAGGCCCGACCACAAGAAACCCTCCTCAAGAGACCCAACCCGGGAACCCCCGGCCGTCCCTGGATGTTTGGTGTGGGAACGCCACGCCTTCCACCACAAAACCATCGAAATCCGGGCACCCTGGGGGCAAGCGGGGTGTCTCTTGGCATGGGCCCCCGCTGCAGCGAGGGCAGGCACGCGGGCCGGGGTGGTTCTTGACGCTCGGCGGCGCGCGGGGGGGGGGGGGGGGGGCGGCGGCGGCGGGACGGGCGGCCGGCACAGGGGCGAGGCGAGGCACAGGGGCGTTCGGGGGGAGGAGCCGAGAGGCTCCCGTCTCTTGAAGAGGCCTCCCTGGAGCCCGCCAGGACGGCCTCCGGGAGGCCCCCCGAGGCAGGGAGGAGGGGGGGTTCTGGCGCCTCTGCCTCTCCAGAAGGCCGCCCCCGTCCCCACGCCACTCGCAGTCGCAGTCGCACTCTCTGGAGGGGCCCTGGGACACACAAATGAATACACACAAATAAAAAGATTCCCCATATTTTCCCATATTTTCTGGGTTTCTGTCTTCCCGCCCACTTCCCATATTTTCTCATATTTTCTGGGGAATCGACGATTAATTGTGTCTGTGTGTTTCTTTTCCTCCTGACTCTCGTCAGGGCGTGGTCCTTGCCTCCTTGGGCCGGGGAGCGGAGGTCGTGGCCTCTCTGTGCGTACACGCGCTGGGGAAAGCAGAGGCCGGACAGCGCCACCGTCTCCACGCCAGGGTGCAGCGAAAAAACAGGTCAACAGACGTGCGCGGACCCTGCAGGACGGCCAACCGCGGACGCCCAGGATCATGGGCCTCACTGCGCCTGTAGATCGCGAGATTCGTGGGGTCACTGTGCATAGAAGGGCTCCTATGAGTCAGACCCCAAGAGGCGCCCAACAGGCCTCCAGAGGCTCCCAAAGAGCCTCCTAGATGGCCCAAACAAGACTCCAAGATGCCCCCAAGAGGCCCCTTCCAATAGACTATCACGAGGCCTCCCAAGAGCCACGAGGCCAAATCGGGGGACCCCCCCTGGCCCGTGGAAGCTGCCGTGGACAGGGTCTCTGGACCCCCCAAAGACATCCCCCCGAATTTGGCACAACCGATCTGGGTAACGAGCAAATTTAGGCGACGAGCCCAGGGGGGAAATGAGAAGGAGAAGGCCTTCTCAGAAGGCCGCGGGACTTCTTAGAAGTCCGGGGGGCTTCTGAGACGTTTCCTTGGCCTATTTCGAACACAGACAGAACTTCTCAGAAGCCCTCTAAGAGGTCCAGAAACTTCTCAGAAGCCTCGGAAGTCCCGCCCCCTCTCATTTCCCCCCCGCGCCCGCCGCCGAAAATTGGTACTATGCCCGATAGCAAATGTCGTCCAAAATCGACAGCGGCCTCTGTTGGGCAGGCAACTCTGTCTTCAATGGGCAACGCCTGCGGCGACACCGACAGCGAACCCTGTTCAAAATGGGCATGATCTGCTGTTCGTCATCGTGCCCGTTCTCTCCGTACCAATTTCGAGTGTACCGACGAGCATCCCTCACTGGTGTCTGTTGGGAAGGGTGGAACCCGTCTAACCAAAAACCTGCGCTTCTTCTAAATGTTTCCCCGTAGGCGCGGCGCGTCTCCGCGAACACGGCCGCGGACTGGGTGCAGGCCAGCTCGGGACACCGCCCTCAGAATCCAGATGTGGGTCTACTCAGACTCAGAAGGGTTCGAGGACAACGCCCCCCAAAAAGTGGCGGGGGCCAAGAAACGGCCTGGGGGGAGGGGGCGCAGGGAAGAAAACAAAAAAAATAATAGAATGAAAAATGGAAAAAAAGTGGAGAGAAACCCAAAAAAAAAACTGGGCGAGGATTTTAAGATAGTTTCCAAGGGGGCAGAAAAAAACCCAATGACACCCGTCTCATGGAAAACATGTAAACGTGGAAGGGGGTCGTGGAGAACATGTAAAGGTTATGACGGGGGGGGGCACGGGGGGGTCCCGAACTGCAACCCACTTACTGCGAGGAGGCTGACGGTTTTGTGGTGCAGCGCGACTTTGCGAGGGGATTGATAAAGCGAAGAACACTCGAAGTGGCTCCCAAGCTCCGTGAGCGAAACAATCGACTTCATAGCGCAACTCCGCCGCAGGGCCAATCGACTCGGGCTTGCAAGAATCAGACGCCGAAGGGAGAAAAGAGAGAGAAGGAGGAGGAGACAAAACGAGGTCGGGCTACCATCGAGCGCGCCCGTCTTTCGCCAGGGGTGGTTTCGGAGTGAGCTATGGCCCTGGCTGCCAGCTCAATTACTCCGCGCGGGTGCGCGGGCTGGCCTTGTCCGCGCAGAAACCCATGGCGCTGGCCATGCTCCATCTCGTCGCCGCGGCTGAACGTTGGAGACATGCTCCGTCGTGAACCGCCGCCGCGAGTGGGCGCAAAGGCGGGCCTCTGGTTTGATACACAGTGGGCCTACAGCTCACGCCGGACACGCTCAATTTCCAGAAGATCGAGAGACAGTTGGGCGAGCGACGCGTCAACGAGGGGCGCATCGCGCCAATTGCAGCTGCCGCGCCGACGAGCTCGCCGCCGCCAGCGCGCGCCTGCGCGCCCGTCCATGAGGCCTCTTCGACGCCGCCGAGGTGGCGACATGGATTCGCTCGCGTCTTCCACTGCACGGCCATTGCCATCTATGACCGACGTCGCACGACGCCCCCCTTGCCTGACAGAAGAGTGGGATGCTCTAGAGCTGTGCTCAGCAAGATGTAGCCCACTCCTTTCGGCAGATGCCAATGCGGGGGAGAGCCGCCAGGCTCGCCTTGCAGCCCCGACCGCGCAGACGGTCCACCAGGACCTGGCTGCTCCGACCACCTCGACGAGTTGTGGTCGGGCCAGCTCCATTGCCTCGGCGGAAACGAACTCGACCCCCTCGGGCTCGGCTCGGCGCCTTCATGAACGACGGCGACGGCGATTTGCGAGCGCGCCGATCACGCTGACCCGCGCGATGCGCGCCAATTGTGTTCCTTCCGCGGGCAGGACCTGGCGCCTCGCGATTCCCCCGCCCAGACCATCGTCGCAAGCTCCCACCGCCATCGGGCCAGCTCCTCCCCCCACTGGGGTAGGGGGAGCTGTGGGCGGCCAATCGCCACCGCCAGAACAGGGCGCGGCGCTTCGGATACCCCGCGGCCCGACCGCAGGCAATCCCTCGCGCATGAATCGGGCCTCTTCACCAGCGTCAACGCGCTGCACCAGCGAGCCAAACTCCTCGCCCAGTCTCACCAGCACATCCACGAGCAGTGCATTCCGCTGCTGCTTGACAGGTTCCACCTTGCACAAGCCACCTGGGGCGGCCTGCATCAGTCCTTCTGGCCTGCTGCCTCCTTAGGGGCATCCTCCAAGACAGTCTCCAGGCCCTCCTTGCTGCTCAGTACGCGGCGCGCCAGTGCTATCGCCCCTCCTCCCAGTCGGCGCCCTCTTTTTGGGCCGCTGCGAGGACTGCCCCAAAACGGCGCCGCAGCTGCCAGGGCGCCGTATCACGCATGCCAAAGCGTGCGCACAGCCGGCGTGTCTCTGTTTGCGGGCGCGCAGAATTGGCGGGCCTCGCCTTTATCGCCGCGCCCCGCTGCTGCTGTCCAGTCGGGCCCCCCGCAGACCGCGCCAAGGGGAAGGATGCCCCCGCCCTCGTTCGCGCAGCGGTACCTCCCGCCGCGCGAGGTTGGCGCGCAGGGCGCTTGCAGCCCTCGCGCCAGACGGACTTCGGCTCGTCGAAATGTTGCGACCCCATCGGCGGCAGCGCAAAAGACCCATCGGGCTCCGTGCTCGTCGGCAAATCCCTCGCAAGGGTCACAGACGGGGCCCTCCAGCGACGGCCGCGAAACGGGCAGTGGGAGGTCGTCCTCGGCGAGGGCGACCTGGAGATCGAGGAACTGGGGTCATCCTCAACAAGGCCGCAATGTCTAGCAGGCGGCGGCAAGCATCGCCATCCCCCCTCGGTGGCCATGGTTTCTCTAGCGCAGTCACCGGACTCCAAGCACGCGCATTTCCAGGAGGAGCGCCCTGGTTTCCTCTGGTTGCACCATTCGCAGTGGGGATGGGTCCGCCAAGATGCCGCCCGCGACTTTTCTCCGCTGCCTGCGATCACCCCTGCACAGGTAGTTGGCGAAGAGACCGAAATCCCAAGCCGCGAATTGGGTCTTGCCTGTGGCACGGAGAAGCCGCGCGTTAGCGGGGGTGTCGAGACCTCGTTCGACAACGGCGACGGCCCCCAAGTCGCGCACGGTGGTCGGGATGCACCGAAGGAGGGGACATCTCTGAAGCCCAGAGCACGCGCGTGAACAACCCTGCTGGCAAGCGTTCCCCATGGCGGGCAAACGCCCAGTCGTCGAACGTCGCGCCGCAGGTTGGCCAGCTCCGCTCGAGCCGGGCGACGGCCCGCCACGCGCTGACCACCGGGCCTCCCCCGGAGAAGGACTGCGCGGGGTCACGCAGCACTTGGCTTTGGCGTCGAGACCGTTGTCTCTCCGCGCTGGTCTTCCAGGAACGAGCAAAGCTCCCCTTCAGCGCGACAGCTCCCAATTCGACGGGGCGCCCAGGGGCGACGAGCGCGCGGGGG